AAAAGTGAGGTACAGAAAGGTTAAGATTTATGATAGAATGAGAACGAAGAATACACAGCATCTTGAAGTTGTGAAGTGTATTTGTGCCAAAGCATTATTAAGGGCTACTATTGTAACTGTAAGGAGCGCTAGTGGTATAGTGGTTAAAGCATTTGGCTGCTAACCAAAAAGTCAATGGTTCAAACCCACTGGCTACTCTGCAGAAGGATGAGGCAGTCTATTTCTGCAAAGATTTACAGCCTTGGAAACACAATGGGGGTCGCTACGAGAATCAACTTGACGGCATGAGTTTGGTTTGGCTTGGTATTCCAACTGTAAGCCGCTCTGGTGGCACTGTGGCTAAAGTATTGGTCTGCTAACCAAAAGGTCAGGTTAGCTTCCATAAAGATTTACAGCCATGGAAACTCTATACGGCAGTTCTACACCCTGGAGGGTCGCTATGAGTCAGAATTGACTGGGTGGCAGTGGGTATTCTACCTGTACTCCCCTTCAGCATGAAGGTAACAAGAAAAAAAAGAAAAGGTTTAGCTAGAGTGGCACAGCTACACAAACCATGGAAAATATAAAAGACACAACAAACCCTTTAAAATGTGCTTATCATGAGAGAAGTAGGAGGGGCAATAAGCATCTATATCAACCGTCTTCCTCATTCCATACCTACACAAACCCACACACCCATTTTACAGAAAGCTTAGTACCTTATCATTCCTGTGACTTGATTTTTTCACATCTTGCTGCTAGTGGATAGAGACTAAGAAGCGGAAAGGGGAGGAGGCATAATATCTCTATGATCTCACCTTGTCCCTGATCTCTATGATCTCACTCTGCAAATATTTATGAATAATATTGGAAAGTTTCCAAACCCTGGTTTCTTGTGTGTCACTTCCTTCCATTATCCTTGAAAGATGCCTCCCAAGTCTACATTTGACTCAGTCAATGTGCACTATCCATAAAAATCCTACTATAATCCTGTGCCAGGTAAGGGGAACATCTCTTTGCCTAACCTTCTCCTCCAATGCATGCCCCCCATCCATCTGCTCTGTGAGGGCAAAGTACAAGTATGGATTTTGAGGGTCATCTTCCCCCCACCCCCCGTACATCTCAAAGGATGTTCTGACAGAATCCTTTAGATCAAAAGGGAGGATTTCTTCTTTAATCGACTTAGCACCAACAGATATACTTGACTCATCTGCCACTTAATGGCTGAGAACATTTTAGCATTAATGTGGGTCTTTATTTATCTGCAAAGTGAGCATTAGATGATTACAAAGGATCTTTCCAACTCTCAGATTCTATGATGTTACATACTGACTTGCTTTTTAAGAAATCAGGAGAGAACACTTGAAAAAAGAAAGTTTTGAAACCTAGTTCTAGAAAAAAGGTCAATTCAAGAAATACAGCAAAACTAACAAACTTTTGAAAGAAGAAAAACAGCAGAATGTTCCTACAGCCTAAACTCTTAATCTCAATTGTGTTGAGGTTCCACTGGGTGCTTTAAGACACAATCTTGAAATATGTCCTATTTACCTAACACAATATGCTCCATTTCATAGGCATACTTATAGAGCAAATATTTATAGAATAAATACTGTTGACACATAAAATCTAGGTTAAGTATAAAACTTAAAAACCTAGTAAACAAGCAATTGAGTAAACAACACTTATCTAAGGACTGTGTGTATTCTATGTATCACCAAAGCCATTTTGCGAAAATACAAAGAAGGAAATGGAACACAGTCCCAAAGTTACCACAGCAGGATCACAGTGATGCTGGTGACATGCAGTCAGGTCTTAGGATACACAGTCCGGTCTTAGGGAGTTACTCACCACTGCCATCGAGTCAATTCCAACTCATAGTGAACCCCACTGGGTTTCCAAGGCTGTAATCTTTACAGAAGTATATTGCCTCATCTCCCTCCCACAGAACAGCTGGTAGGTTTGAACCTCCAACCTTCTGCTTAGCAGTCAAATGCCTTACCCACTCTACCACCAGAGCTCCTTATATAAGGAAGTTACCAAATTATATATAATTCAAACACACATAAAGCCAAGTATTTTTTTTACAACTATATCCATAAATAACCAATTAAAATATTATAATAGAGATATTAAATGCCTATGCCATTAGCTCAGAAGGAAGGTTGGGCAATCTACTTCTGTAGTGATACTGCCTCGGAAACCCAAGGAGGGGTCGTTATGAGTCGGGTCCGACTCGATGGCACATAACAACAACAACAACAACAACGACAACAATAACAACAACAACATGCCATTAGCTGCAAATTTGAGGTTGGGTGTAGATCTGGAGGGAGCTCTGGTGGCGTGGTGCCTAAGGCATTTGGCTGCCAACCAGAAGCCTGGCGGTTCAAACCCACCAGCCAGCCACTCCTCGGAAGGAAGACAGGGCAATCTACTTAGTGATACTGCCTCGAAACCCAAGGAGGGGTCGCTATGAGTTGATCTGCCTTGATGGCACTAAATTTTTTTTTTTTTAGTCGATCTGGAAAGATTCTAGATTCTTGGGGCGAGGTGGTTTTTTTAGAAACATCTTAAAGAAAGATGGGTAAAGCTGTATTATTCAGAAAAAGGGACGTGGGGACTCTGGAGCACTCTAATCAGAGGAAATAACTTACGTAAAGATGCAGGATAGGAGTCTTATATAAGTGCTGAGCAACAGCCATGAGGCTAATGAGGCCAAGGTACCAGGGCAAGCACACAGGGCTGCGGGGGAGTAGTGAAAGTCAGGCTAGGAAAACAGTAGGGTATGAAAGAAGCTGGGCGAAGTCTTTCTTGGCTATCCGGGGCTTACAGCAATGACTGTATTTTGTTCATTTATTTATTTGCTTGCTTGTTTGTTTGTTTGTTTGTTTGAACAGAAAAGTGGCAGTGGGTAGAAAGCAGACTGGTCTTGAGAGGAGAGAGATGGAAGCAAAAAGCCCAAGTAGGAAATTTTACAATGGTCCAAGCGAAAGGTAGTTAAGTCTAAAGTGAGATAGTAGCAACTGCTGTGGGAAAGATGGAAGATAAAACAGAGACTAATAGCATCTGATAAATGTTGGGTTCTGAGAAAGAAAGGAATCAAAGACCACCTTTAGCCTGAGCAAGTGGACTGATGATGACAATATTAACTGAGAAAGAAATTAAGTTTTAGAAGAATAACTGAGCAGAGAGGAGCATGCTTTTTCTCTGAGGCATGTCGAGTGTGAGGTATCTGCAGAATATGTAGACAGAGATACCCAAAAAGGAATTTAGAAATGCAAGCCTGAAGCTTTTGAAAAAGGGCATTCTTTTTTTTTTTTTTTAATTTTATTTTGATTTGGGTGAA